ATTGAAGCCCAGATTGCATCCCCAGGAGTGAAGATCATCATCCTGGAGCAGATTATCCTCATCGTTATGAGTATGACTACTCTGATTTCTGTTTTCCTCTCTCTCTCTCTCTATGGAGTAGAACCTTCTCTCACTTGGGTATGAAGAACCCTAGTTCCATGTGTTAGGGATCTTGATTGTAATGACTTGGGATTGTTATACTGATTGATTTTAATCGATTGATGCATGATTTATTGAGTCAATTTAAGTCTGATCATCTTTTCTTGGTTTCTGCTGCAACCTGAGATAGATAGAATCTGATTATGTTGTTAGAGCTTCATCAATCGGTAGTGGTAGATTGCTTATACGAAAGTTAATTGATTTTCTGCTTTGTACTGGAATCCAATTCTAGTAGTGGAGTTCTGTGTTCATAGCCTCAGCTTTCTATCTCGGTGAAGACTAGTCGTCTGTCGGGTAGTTGGACTTAGAGGGTTTGGTCATCTTAAGAGATTCCAAGCTCCTGTTGGATCTTCCGCAGTTTAATCAACGGTTAATCAACCAAGGGTAATTACAACTGTGACCTAACTAAGGAGCTAGTGGGACTCATTCCCGAGTGACTCTTCCCTTGCTTTAGAAAACCGAACCATTTCCTGCTTTCTTACTGCTTTTAGTTAAAATCACAATCACTCGACTTAGTTTGCTAGATAATAGATATTCATGGAGTAAGCAGTAGATCTAGACCCCGGGTTGACAAATATAGCTTGTCACTTACTGCATTACCAGACTGCGATTACACTTGGTCGCAGTTTCGAGTTGTGTTTTAGCGTGTCAACTATCATTAACAGCCTTCCCAAATAATGCTACATTTATCTCTAACAACACCAGGACTCCATGATCAGGACAGCCTTGACCACTATCCACCATGAAAGGATTATTTTCTGCTAGATTCTCCCATCCCCCACCTCTCTGCAAAAGCCTAAAGTGTTAATAATTGTAAGAAGCAGGAAAAGATTCAATTGTGCAAACACCGGGAAAAAGAGGGACTGCTAAGAATGTATTTCATAAGCAAAAACACTTGAGAAAGAAAGCAACAAATTCCAAACATTCCTTAAATTTGAACGGAATCTATGTAACTCGATAGGTTAAGAGGCGAGTGGTAACAGAATCTATGTAAGTTGACAGGTTCAGAGGCGAATGCTAGACTAAATCGACATTTTCGGGAGAGGAAGATACATATTGATCTCTTCTCTATCGGATCTAGAACTTGACCAACTGCATGTGGAACGAACCAGAAGGAGAAGCTGAGGATGAATGGGCAGACTAGGATGGGATCGGAGACTGAATCTCCCTTCTGAACCATCCGACTCTCATATGGCAGCTTCCATTTTGGGGCGATAATGAATCCTTGATTCTCTAGGGAAGAGAAAAGAATCCATCTCTCGTCAGCCAACCTCCGATCTAATTTCGATGAGCCCTTTCCTCTTGCTCTTCTTTCGATTTCACGGAGCTAGGCAAACCCATGTTAACCTTTCAAATCTAGGTCCCGTACTTCATCTATTGATTCGCCGAAAAAATTGTAGAGGAAGGGATTTTCAAACTTTTTTTTTCTAGAGGATTTGCATTCTTTGGATTTGATGAGGAAGAAAGGAAAAAGAGGGGTGTTTTTAACACGGGGATTGACAGGGGAGAAGAACTGAAGAAGTGGTCACGTGCAGGGCTTGTAGGTAGGGGTGGCCATTCGATCATAATTATGAAGAGGGTTGCTAAATGTCGCTCTAATCTCACTATAATCGCTCTAATTTAAACATTAAAATTATCTTTTTACCCTTCTCCCATTTTTTTTTAACATATATTTTATTATGAAACACACATAATTCTGAAACACACATAAAAAAATAAACTGAATCTACGCTCCGGCGACTAGTAAAACTCTCCATAATCTAGTCATCGTTATCCGCTGCCGCCCATCGGCCATTAAATCCCACTGCCAGCGCCAACCGTCGTTGATTCCCACCGTCCATCGCCTTCATCAGTGTCATCGTTATGGTCAACTTAGCAGGGAGACTGAATCTACGCTCCGGCGACTAGTAAAACTCTCCATAATATAGTCGCTGTTATCCGCCGCCGCCCATCGGCCATTAAATTCCACTGCCAGCGCCAACCGTCGTCGATTCCCACCGTCCATCGCCTTCATCAGTGTCATCGTTATGGTCAACTTAGCAGGGAGAAAGGACACACACACCTTGGATTGGCGACAGAGGGGAGTTGATTCCGGCGATGGGGGAAGAAAACGACATGACTGTGATTTGATTTAGAGGGTGAGGTGATTCAGAGTACTCAAACAACGGGGAGGCGACGAGGCGTCGATTGCAATAGTGGGGATTTTATTTAAACTAAGAACGTAGTGGGGAGAAGAGAGGAGGCGACGGCGGTGAAGGGCGTTTGAACTATGAAGTGCAGCAAGTCAGCTGATGAATGGTTGTCAGATTGGTGGATAATGTGGCTGTACTGGTGGATAGAAATCGTTTATTTTTGTCAACGAGAAAAGATTGCTAGGGCTTGTTTGTTTTATTTAAATTTTTTAAAGAGAAGGATAATTTAGTAATTTTCTATTTTAAAATATGGCGATAACAGAAAAGTTAGGGCGATGTTTAGCCATTCAGATTATGAATACTGGGACCCGAATTCCACCAAACCATAAATCGAATTCGAACCGAATTATAATTTGATTTGGACGGTCTAAACCAATTTATAATTCGATTCGGTTTGGAATTTCATACAAAACCCAATTTACAAGGATACTTGTATCTTTTCCTTTTTAAATTATTTTTACCCCTAATGTGAACAATAAATATGCTATTATATGCATCGTCAATGATAAAATCAAACATTTCAACACATCAGTCATAAAACACTAACATGATTCAAATTTAAATCTTTAAACAACTACAAACATAAAAATCCACCATTTGGAGCTTGCAATTATAGTAATTCGATTTTTGGTCGGAAATTTGGAATTTTGGTTCGGTTGATAGAACCCTGGTTTCCGAAATATCCATATTTACCTTTCGAATTCCGAACAGAATAGCATTATTTCGGGTTCGCCTTAATTCAGTTTCGGTTTGGTTCGGTTCGAGTTTACCGAACCGGTTGCCCACGCCTACTTGTAGGTGAACTGATAGACCGTTAGTTACACATGTTTTTACCCCTGCTCTTACTCCGTTTGAGGTATTGATTCTCGTGTTTTAGGCCGATTTCACGCTAGGTTGTGCTTGGTTGTGATATTTCAGGTCCTAAGACGTGAATGAAGGCTTAGGAGCGAGTCTAGGGTCGATTGGACGAAGGTCGGACGCATGGCGAGGGTTCAAGGAGGCTGCACGGCCAGACCAGGGAGTCGCACGGCCGTGCATGTGAGCAAGATGGCCGTGCGCTTCTTGCCGAGAGCACGCACGGCCAGACCTTGAATTGGCACGGCCGTGCAACATGCAGCCTAGGCTGTGCGCCTCACGCCGAGGCCATGCACGGGCAGGCCATGAAGCTTGCACGGCCGTGCGCCTGGCCGTGCAAGATGGACGAAGACACAATAATTGATACGGTGCGTTTCATGGTGCACGGCCAGAATGGTGTTGTGCACGGCCGTGCACCTGGCCGTGCAACTCAGGGAGAACTGGTTTTTAAGCGGATTCCGAGCCAAACATAAGGAGATTCGAGTTTTTGAGAGACAAAGCGGTTCCTAGAGAGAGAAAGCGACGAACAAGAGCCTCCAAGTGCCCTAGATCGATCTTCAACACCATTGGAGCTTGGTTTGAGCTTGGAGAAGTGCCGATTCAACGTCCAGGAGCAGAAATCCATCTTCACAGTATGATTTCCGCGTCTGATTCTGCTTTTGCTTCTCTCTCCATGGAGTAGTTCTCCCATTCATCTGGGTGTGGGAAACCCTAGTTCTGTATGTTAGGTTTGATTGTATGAACCCAAGTATTGATTCTATGATATTGATTATATTCGATTGAGGTTTGAATGATTGAATGGCATGAATCCTGATCAAATTCATGTTGTTTCTGCTTTAACCTAGAATGATAATATCTGCCTAGGTTGATAGAGTATCCTTAATCGAAGGTAGGGAATTGGTGACTTTAGTCGAGGAGCCAATTCACTATTCTGTACCGAATTCAATTCGGTAGTGGAGGTTTTGTTCATAGGGCCTCAATCTGTTTACTCCGGTGTAGGTTAGTCGCCAGCTAGAGACTCAGATTGAGAGGGTCTGAAGACCTTTAGTCGAGACTTCAGACTGATTAAGAACCTTCCGCAGTATAACTTTCATAGAAATCGAACTTGGTAATTACAATCCGGCTTAACTGCAGACTAGGGGGAACCATATCCGGGTGACCTCTCTTAACCTGAATACAACCGTTTAGTTGCTTTGCTTGCTTGTTAGTTTAGAACTTCACTAAAGTTTCATTGCTAGATAATACGAATTCACTGAGTAGTCATCACATCTAGGACCCGGGTTGACATTAAAACCCAACCCGCTATACTACGCTTTAGGAAGTGGTTACACTTGGCCAATTTCTAGAGTGACAGTAACAGCGAGTCATGAACTCATACATTCAAAACGACCAAACAATTTTTAAAGGTGATGCTTGATCCGCCCATTGTGATGAACTCGGTCTCACTTAAATCCTACCTCAGCATATCCAAAAATCGCTTGATAAACAGTGAGCTCCGAAATTTTGTTCATGAACAATGATAAATTTTGTACAAACTTCGAGTTTAATAATTCTAACTAATAATTTGCATCTTATCCCCCAAATATGACATAGCTAGATAGCTAGCTAGTTTTTCATTTCATCTAACCTTTCGTTCACATTTTTGTCGCACTTCAAACTTAACTTTTCCCAACTCTTTAACAAACATGCTTTTTATACTGAATCGGTATTATTATTTTTGAAGACTTGTTCAAGCTATTACATAATTAATTAATTAATTAATTACATAAATGGAGAAATGCATATGGGTCATTAGTGATTATCAAGAACAAACTAGTCTTATGTTGACCACAGAAACTCAACTTCAATTAGGTACATACACACATACAATAGAATTTGAACGATGAAGGGTCACAACTTTTCATGCCCTCCATTTACAACTATAAGCTTCTTCTTTCTTTCTTCCTTTCCTTCTCATGAACATGTTAGAGAGACAAGCACAAACTAGGCAGTACAGAAAAAAGCAAACAAAGATAACAAAGCAGAGGGCTTTTCCTTTTTATATTTATTACAGCATTTAACATATAATTTCCTCTACTTTCTTTGGTGGCTATTAGCTGCTGCTGGTTCCTCTTCCCTTCATAACATGTCTCCTCAACCCAGGCACATGAACATTAGTAATGTACTCTCTCCAATCTATGCTCCCAACATCAAAGCCGAATCGCCTCTTCTCACTCTCAGACATCACCTCCATTAGCCTTTCCCCGTTGCTGTTGTCGAATCTGTATTCATAATGTACGGTATCAGTTTCCGACCATACTTGAAAACCATAGTTTCATAAGTTGGTTTACCTTCCACCGTAGAACGTGTATGGCTCATAGATGTTGGCCAGGTACTTGACCTGTTCCACTGACTTTCTGCAGATGAATTCGTGCTTCTGGGATAGCTTCCCATCCGACGAGGTGATCGCAGTCAGCCCATTTCGCTGGATCACGTCCCTCCACAGGTGGTCAGAGAAGTCGTCCATGGAGCTAAAGAGTTTCATCAACGGAACAGTGATTGGCATGCCATTAGAGTCCATGTAGGGGGACGAGTTGTAGTGTTCGTAGAGAAGTGTGGCCAGGTCCTTGAAGATAAGCGGGTTCACTACTGATGAGGCGATTTGGTAGACATTTATCTCGGGTTTCTTCTCCATACCATGCTTGGCTATTGCTGCCAATGTCGCATTCACCACCATATCTGCTGGCACCTTTCAAAAGCCATGGTACCCATGAAAAAAAGCAATAAAAGTTTGATTAATTTCACATTAAGCGAGTCCGTCAACTCCTATCTTGCTATCCATAAAAAAAAGTGAGTTTGTTGAGTTTGTGTATGTCGTTGTTGTTACCACGTCAAGAACTCCGTTTGGGTCTACTAAGAATCCTGTGAGCTGCCCTTTCCCATAGTACAAAACTATTGGATCCATCATCCTGACAATATGGTAAACAAATTTGGATGGTTGCTAGTCAAAAGGGAAGAAAATTGAGAGATAGGAGACATTTTTGAAATTTCAATTATTACCTATTGCCTTCCATCCAACCAGGGAATGGCTCCTTATAGGTACTCTCAATTACACTTGGTCTGAGAATGACGACAGGAACCTCGCCTCTCATGTTGTCTATCACCATTTCTCCCATGGCTTTTGTGAACACATAGGTATCTTGCCAACCGTATTTCTTTGCCCTATTTACAATAAGTTTGTTATATAATAAAGGCAAGAACAAGAAGATATGAAGGAAGAGGGAAATTGGAACTTCAGAAGAACAATTCACCTTTCCAACCCAAGTTCTCTCATCTTGATCGCCATTTCATTCGGGTGAAATGCTTCCTTGGAGTCAATAACCAACTTAACTTCATCTTCAATGTCCAATGTGAACCGTGATGCAGCTTCATAGACAAGACTGTTGTTGTTCTCCCTAGCTATGCAGTCCCCCATGTCGAATGCTCTCTCCATGATTCTTCCTTGTCTATGCCCGTTAACATATGCTGTTTCATGGGTAGAAAACAACAAAGTCTATGAAAAATAGTTTCTATAATGTTTTTTAATGAGTCGGCTTCTTCCGGGCTATTAACACAGTGGAGATCATAAATATCAGTGTATCAGTTCTCACCTGTTGATACTTGTAAGAAGAGCTTGAGGTTTTGGCAGCTCTTTGCGAAACTCATGAGGTTTGAAGGTCCCCTTGTGTTGATGTCAATTGCGATATCATATCTGCCAAATAATTAATCAATCATAACAGTAATTTCCATGCATGACAGATTCTTCTAATAATAATGATGGTAATAATCAATTTGAACCTTTCGTCGAAAGTTGTATTTGCTGCTGAATTCACTATGATATCGACATCATCAGCAATCAAGTCTGCTAATTCTTGTTCCAAACCGAGATTAGATTCGCAGACATCACCAACAACTGGAACTAGTTTGCTCAACATGAAAGTCTGAAATGATTTTCCATACGTTTGACGTAGAGTCTTGAACAGTTCTGCATTTAGTATCTATGTAACAACTGTGGTTTAAAACGAAGTAGGTGACAATTTGTTAGGAAAAAAAACTTAATCAAGAAGGAACAAGAGAAACATACTTCAGTTTTCAATCTCGCCATTGCTGCATCCTTGTTTTTGGCCTTGATCAACAGATATATCTTCCCCACATCAGGCATTGTCCTAATTATCTTTTCAATGAGGACTGCGACCAAAGGGCATGTGTTATTACTATCTCTTATGGATGAATAATTCTTGGGGCCGGGTAAAAATGACTTCACAAAAAGCAAACAAACCTTTGGCCAGAAACCCGGTTGCACCAGTAATGAAGAACCCTTTCCCTCTCAGATACCTCACAATCCCAATACCATCATGGGTTTCCACGAGACTAGAACTTGTTGGGCCACTATAAGGCACCAAATCTTTCACAGCAATCTCTGGTTGTCCATTTGCAGCCAAAACCAAGCTGCTCGCATCCATCACAAATGCTGATGAGCTTTGTTGTTCCTGATTAGTAGCAGTAGTAGGAGTAACCCATGCAGATTTTCTCCCACCAAAAACTGAACCAATACCAGACCTGATCGTCTTTCCTCCGCCACCTTGACAGAACACAAAACTAGTAGTAGTGCAACTTTTCCTCCTCCTAGGCCAACGGTGACCACCCGAAGATATCTTGACAACTTTATTTGTTCGAAGAAGAAGTGAAGGAGGAGGAAGAGAAGAGAGGGAGAAAGAACCCATTATAGAATTGTGTAGGTAAGAGATTTAGGAACAAAAAAGAAACAAAACTAAAACTTGGTTTTGTAGTTAAAGAAATGGTTGGCTTGAAACTTGAGCTAAAAGCTATCTAAAACAAGATGAAAAGAAAAGGGGGCTTAAGATAAAAATGAGAAAAGAAAAGCTAGTAAACTAACTGAACTCTATAAAGATTGTGAGCATTTGATGAAAGGGGATTTGGTTTAGTTTTAAAGGGCAATTCATAAAAAAAAGGAAAAAGAAAGGGAGACGAGAAGTTGGTGCCTGTATTTCTGCATGAAGATGGGCCAAAGTCTTTTTATAATGAGAAGAATATATATATATAGACACAAGAAAAGAGGGTCTTTCTCTTTTTGCCCACTTTGAAATAAGAGACAAAATTGGAGAGAGATCACTTATTTTTGTGATTAACGGTTCTTGAATGTCAAAGAAATGCAGTTGGGAAGTCATGTTATTCATTTTGTTTATCCAAGTGCCATACATAAAAGGAAAGGAAACGTGCCTGGGAGCAAAGGAGACCTGAAGGTACCCAAATGCGCAGTTTCCATATTTTACTTGTTTCCTTCTCGTTTGTGGAAAAGTACTAGAAAACGTTGTAGATAAAGCATGTTAGAAGAGAATTTGTCAATACAACAGCTCTTCTAGTTGGGGTGAAATTCAACATTTTTACACAAAAGTTTAAAGGTGATAGTAATTACGAATTAGATTCAGGTTGGTTTGATCAAGTTCAGGGACGACACAAGCTTTGATTAAGAAGTTCTATAGCTAGCTTCATTTTATTAACCCAAATCATTCGAGTAACTCCTTAAAACATTATGTTCCTCCTTTCCTTTCCCAAATTTTCATAGTAGCTCTTCAGTTACAAGAGCTTTCAAACAGAGAATTCAATATATCATAGGCTACGAAATAAGCTTCCCACATGGAGAACTGCTTAGGGGAGAAAGAAGATGAGAAAATGTTTACTATTCACCTATTTTGTCAAGGAAAACCCTTTTCTCATGGGTGAAGAGCAGAAAATATTTGTTCCGAGATGCCTGTCTCAAGACTATGTTGGCTTCCATTCTCTACAATTAAAATGGGTTCTCTGATAAGCGGTCCAACTGCAATACATCAACATCGTAAATATGGAGGTGTAAAATGCAAATCGCATGCCTAAGGATAGTTAAAGCAAGTAACAAGCATGGTTCATGCGTTCAACATGAGACAGACTTGGTTAATGTCAAGTCTAAAGTTCCCACACAAGCTTTACATGCTCATAAAATGGCTTATGAATTATGATGGCACATTCTTATCATAAACTTCCCATAAAATCTTAAGGTCAACGTTATAACTGGCCCTAGAGAAAGACTAACACTTTAGATGTGCATTTACCATAAACTTCATCACCTCAATTTTACCAATTTACTAATTTGATCGAAAATAATAATTAGAGTGCGCTTGCAGCCTGGGTGGAACCTCATAGATGCACTTGTGTTCATTCCTACTTTAATTTACAGGGGAGAATGTGATTGCCAAGCTCTCAAATTCAACTGAGTCACCTAGCTTTGAGTCAACAAGAATCAGTACACAGATCGATGGAGCCTCAATATAGAAAAAATGAAAAATGTGAAAAACAAAAAGTATCCAAGCCTGAATGCCCATGCCGTTGGGTCAAAAAATGATCAGCGCAAAGATTCATAATCCACAACCTTAATGCAGAAGAATCAAAAAGGAAAAGCTCAATTAAATTGTGGGAACTGGGAAGAGCATTTTTTGTGTCGGTTAGCATGCCAACCCCTAAGGGTTTGTTTTTTCACACTCCCTTTCTTATTGGTCAATTTTTTATTAATCATTTGACAAATATTAATGAAACAGACATAATAAATGCAACTTGTAGAATTTAATACTCTTATTAAATACAAATTATGAATTAAATACAACACATTAATAACTTGTATTTTTTAAATCTAAACCTATACAAAATGCAATTCTCTCTCCTATTTCTAATCCTTCTCTCTCCTATCTTTGATCCTTCATTTTCCAGCAACCTCCAACCGACTCCTTCCCAAGCCCCTGTCCCGGTGAGTTTTCAATTTTCAGATCTAATTTTTCGATTTCCATATCTGATTTTTGTATCACTGCACTGATAATTGTACCACTGCACTTAAACTCAAAATATGGTATTTGTACTAGTGCACAGGTAGCACTAGCAATGCACTGGTAGCGGTATCACTCCACTAGTAGCGATACCACTCCACTGGTACAAATGTCATATCTAAGTATCAGTGCAGTGGTACTACATATCAGGTGGCCGGAGAGATTCTGCCGGCGGGATTTCACCGGCGAAGTGTGGTGGTCGGAGGAAGCTTGGTGGTCGGAGGCTGGGAAAGGAAAAATCAGAGATAGGAGAGAGAATTGTATTTTGTATAGGTTTAGATTAAACAAAAAAGTAAGTAATTAATGTAATTTATTTAATTCTTACTTTGTATTTAATAAGAGAACATTTATTATGTTTACTTTCATTAATACTTGCCAATGATTAATGAAAAAGTTGACCAATTAAGAAGGGGGTGTCAAAAAACCAACCCCTTTGGGGGTAGGCATACTAACCGACCCCATTTTTTTGGGGGAGCTCTCTCATTGAGCATTGGTCAAGGTCTCTGATTTGGAGCACTTCTACTATGCTATATAGTATTGGTGCTTTAATGTACAACTTAAAGTTGTACCGTAACATTAAATGTATAAGTTTAGGTTGTACCATAAAGCAATTTGTACCATTATGTTATGGTACAACTTTACAACTTGAAGTTGTACCATCACATAAAGGTACAAGTTCAAGTTGTACCATAAAAGAATTTGTACAATTTGAAGTTGTACCAGAACGTAAATGTGCAATTTTAAGTTGTACCATAAAGACAAAACCCTATAGCACCAATACTATATAGCATTGTAAAATTTCTCATCTGATTTGACTTCAAGAAAGTAAATTCTTATGAATGTTGTTATGCATGAAAATTGCCTACATCTTAATTCTCCATATCGTGAATGATATCTTGTTGTCGAAGTTCTCAATGTCAGACTTTGCAATCATCTTGTTGAGATTATTACAATTAATTATCACATAAATCTTGACAGATTTTTTCACTTAAAATTATGCGTCTTCAATTGGGAAATTGCTCCTTTTCTTCCTTCCTTAATGTTCGAATACAATTTTAGATTTACTTCCGTTGGTATCTTTTATTTGATTACAAATTTCTTAAAAGACAACATTTCTCTTCCATTCCACTAGGAAATATTGATTTTCAACAAACATATAACAATTTCCCAATGTCATTTGTGTATGAGTATGTTAACTATTCAACTAAGGGGGTAAGTTTGACCCTTAAAATCCACTGACCCGCTCTGACCCACATCGACCTTTAGGGTCGGGTTGTGTCAGTTTGTCTAAAGGGTCAACTTAGTGTCGGGTCATCATAGGGTCGGGTCAGGGTCAAGGGTCGGGTCAATTTAGGGTCGGGTCATTTTTTGACCCTATGACCCTTAGCATCATACAAACACGTTGAACCTATTTGTAAATTTTTTAAAATTTAGGTACTAAATTGTAAAAAATAATTTTGGGTACCAAAACATAATCTTATCATTAAATATTTCGGACTAATTTGTAAAAAAATAAAATTTAGGTACTAAAATGTAAGAAAAATAAATTCGGGTACCAAATTATAATTTTTAGAAAAGTAGTGTATTTATTAGGGTCGACCCACTAACCCGATCCTTCCTGACCCGCCCCGACCTTAAAGGGTCAGACAGGATCATGAAATAAATAGGGGCGGGACGGGTCAGTTATGTATCTTGACCCTTCAATGATGGGTCAGACAGGATCAGCGACGAATCGGGCCAATTTTCAGCCCTATATTCAACCCATAAAAACTATTTGTTGGCGAACTTTTTCATATTGGATTGCCACCTAAAGCTCCCATACATGATTTTGTCTTAGACGTTTTGGAATGTCTACTGTAACTGTTGTTTGCACCTAGTTGGACCAATTTTGTGCATTCGTGTGAACATATCATGCAATGCAATCAAGAAAGAAGTTGAACGAGTTAATGTGGACAGCCTGCCGAATCAATGCGAAGCCAGCGATTGGTACAGTCGAATCTACAAGAACTTCATTGTACAGTTTGCTGTATTCTACAGTGGGAAAAAAAAAAGAGGACCAATTTTTGCTGGACGTGGTCCAGTTGCCACAGTGCATAATGAGCAGCAGACCATCCCATCAATTCATTTAGTCGACGTTACATCTCAGTTTCAAATTTCAATGGCAATCAAAATTCAGCATGCTCTACTGTTGATATGACTTGAATCGGATTATCAGCCGCTACGACTGGTAATCGGGGGTCCAGGGGCAACGCCCCGGTGGGTGTGCGGGGGCAACGCCCCCGGCCCACGGTGTATGGGCTCAATGTTATTTGGATTCGGGTTCTGGGCCTGGTCTGTAACCGTTTCCTTTGGCATATTGGATTAGGTTTAGACCCACATGGAGAAGTACTATAAATACTTCTCATACTCCTCTGTAATCTGTAATCTCCTTGATATAGTGAAATCGGCTCTCTCTCGCCCGTGGACGTAGCTAACACACATCGTGTTAGTGAACCACGTAAATCGTGTGTCGTGTTTTCGATTCTTGCTTTCGTATTCTTGCTTTGTCGATTCCGGCGATTTCCCGATCCGTAGCAGCGCGTTTATAACAAGTGGTATCAGAGCCGCGGCTGGAAATCAGGCTAGGGTTTTCGATTCAGAAGAATGACGTCGGTGAACATGAAGATCGAAAAGTTCACGGGGAAGAATAGCTTCGCTATATGGCAGATCAAGATGCAGGCTTTACTAAAACAGCAAGGGCTGTGGGGGCCGCTGTCTGCTAAACAGAAGAAGGCAGCGGTCGATGACGATGAGTGGAATACCCTGGAGGAGAAGGCCCACTCTACCATCATGCTATCGTTGTCTGATGACTTCATCATTGAAGTCGCTGCTGAGAAGACTGCCGCGGGCTTGTGGTTGAAACTAGAGAGTCTGTACATGACTAAGTCTCTAACCAACAAGCTGCATCTCAAGCAACGGTTGTTCAGCTTGAGGATGCAAGAAGGTACGCCTTTGAGGGAACATCTCGAACAACTTAACTCTATTTTGCTGGATCTGCGTAATATAGATGTTCAAGTTGATGACGAGGATGCTGCCCTAATCCTGCTGGTTTCTTTGCCGAGTTCATATGAGAATTTCGTTGATTCTTT